CATACACATTTACACACAGAGGCTTTTACACAGAAACACTTGAACACAAACACTTTTACACACAAACACTTTTACACACAGACGCTTTTACACACAGACACTTTGACACACAGACGCTTTGACACACAAACGCTTTTACACACAGAGACTTTTACACACAAACACTTTTACACACAGACGCTTTTACACACAGACACTTTGACACACAGACGCTTTGACACACAGACGCTTTTACACACAGAGACTTTTACACACAGACGCTTTTTACACACAGGCGCTTTTACACACAGACAAGAACGGCACAAGTAAAATTGCACTTTTACCTCAGTTTTTGCCGATCGACCCTCATTTCGTGCGAAAGGGTTGCTCCGGCACAAGTCAAATCGCAATTTTTCCTCAGTTTTTGCCGATCGACCCTCATTTCGTGCGAAAGGGTTGCTCCAGGACAAGTCAAATCGCAATTTTTCCTCAGTTTTTGCCGATCGACCCTCATTTCGTGCGAAAGGGTTGCTCCGGGACAAGTAAAATCGCACTTTTACCTCAGTTTTTGCCGATCGACCCTCATTTCGTGCGAAAGGGTTGCTCCGGGACAAGTCAAATTGCAGTTTTACCTCAGTTTTTGCCGATCGACCCTCATTTCGTGCGAAAGGGTTGCTCCGGGACACGTAAAATCGCAATTTTACCTCAGTTTTTGCCGATCGACCCTCATTTCGTGCGAAAGGGTTGCTTTAGCACACGTAAAATCGCAATTTTACCTCAGTTTTTGCCGATCGACCCTCATTTCGTGCGAAAGGGTTGACGTTTCGTGACTCCCCGCCGGCACCACCCTCGGCCTTAAGAGAGAAAGATAAAAAGAAGGCGAGAGAGAGAAAAAGGAGAGAGATGTGAGAGAAGATGTGAGAGAAGATGTGAAGATGAGCAGATGTGAAGATGAGCAGATGTGAGAGAAGATGTGAGAGAAGATGTGAAGATGAGCAGATGTGAGAGAAGATGTGAGAGAAGATGTGAAGATGAGCAGATGTGAGAGAAGATGTGAGAGAAGATGTGAAGATGAGCAGATGTGAGAGAAGATGCGAAGATGAGCAGATGTGAAGATGAGCAGATGTGAAGATGAGCAGATGTGAGAGAAGATGTGAAGATGAGCAGATGTGAAGATGAGAAGATGTGAGAGAAGGTGTGAAGATGAAGATGAGCAGATGTGAAGATGAGCAGATGTGAGATGAAGATGTGAAGATGAGCAGATGTGAAGATGAGCAGATGTGAGAGAAGATGTGAAGATGAGCAGATGTGAAGATGAGCAGATGTGAGAGAAGGTGTGAAGATGAGCAGATGTGAAGATGAGCAGATGTGAAGATGAGCAGATGTGAAGATGAACAGATGTGAAGATGAGAAGATGTGAAGATGAGAAGATGAGATACAGATGTGAAGATGAGAAGATGTGAAGATGAGAAGATAAAATACAGACCCCCACTATTGGAAGAACCCTGCGCTCAGACGCTCTCGGGAAAAATAAGATACCTGTTTAACTGCTCCCCATATTAGGGCCCCAGAATGAATTTTTCTGCAATACCAGGGTCCAGGGTTTTATTTGGGGTATCTAAGTTTTTGATTGTCCATCCCATATGCTCCATGGTGCTGGTATATTTACCTACAAAACTGGGTGATTTTTAGGGCAGATGTAGGTAAATATACCAGCACCATGGAGAATATGGGTACGGTTGCCAGTTGGTGGTTTCAACCCATCCGAACATGCACAAAACATGCACTTATCAATCCATCGCCGCAACGCCCAGCCACCATAGCCTGGCGTAGCAGTCAAGCTGTTGCCGGTGCAGTTGCAGCTTCCGCAACGCAACGCGGAGTTCCACGATGAACGACGATTCGATGGAGTTTGTCCACGAAGTTCGTAGCCGTCGTAGCCACTTAGAACACCTGGTAACATTCTTGTGGGACCTGAGACATGGCCGCTCTCGCGCAGCCACAGGTGAACTAAGGAAGCCACTTTGGGCACTGCAAGGTTTTCTCGAGGATTTGGGTTACCCCCATTCTAGGAAACCTCCATATTATAGAGCATCCGCCGTTACATTAAAGGGTTATAGTAACTGGTTAGATTAATGGTTTATAATTCACAACCACCTCGATGTTGTCCAGTCCAGATATATAAATAGAACCCCTCTCATTACATCCCACCAAATCACTGCTTTGGCTGATTAAGTCCCAATAGTCCTATCCAGATTCATGTGCTGTTGTTTTTTTTGACTTCGTTTACCAAATTTAACAATTTCGAAATACCCTAACTATCCAGACTATCCATAACTCCTAACAGCATTAAAAAAAATCAACTAATTTCGCCAGAAATCAGATATACAAACTATAAATCCATCATATCCACCAGAAATTGGGCTAAAAAAACGACCCAACCGCGGCACCATTTCTGCAATTCGCGATGGTAGGGTCAGCTCCAACTTTTCAGGTCAAGCCCGTGGACTTTCAACTCACTGAGCCGCTTGGTTTGCCCGCGGTTTAGCCATAAATATAACTATAGGAACTTTATAATAATATATAGCAATAATATAGTAATTAATTATATTAATAATACTATTACAATAGTAATATAGGAACTTTATTTGTAAATTATTAATATATAGCAATAATAATAGTAATGTCAACCCCGGATTAATGAACCATGGTTTATGAATTAGGGGGGTACCCCTACAATAGTCATACTATGATACTTAAATGGTACCCTCCCAATTAAACAATCTAGGGGTTGATTAATCCGGGGTTGACATTAATTAATATTAATATATAATTATATATATTGCTATATAGTGATTACACAGTACTATATATATATAAATATTGAATTATACATTATAAAGAAAAATTTTATTTTATCATATCATTTAGATTATATTATATAGTATCTATTTTTTTGATTATATTTTATTACTTATTATATTTCATTTCTATTTTATTTCATTTATTCTCTTGTAATTTAAATAAAACTATTTTAAGTTCTATCTATGCTATATCTATTCTCTTTATTTATATATATTATCATTTTAAATTAAATTATATTATATTACCAGGATATATATATATATATAATATTATATGTATGTGTATGCTACTTTTGGAATTTCTTTGATTTTCCATATTTAAAGGTTGTTTACTGGAGGCAGCTTGCCCTATTTTCAGATAAACCATGTCTCAAAACCAACTGGGTAATACATCGAGGAGACTATGGAATCGATCCATGGGAATCCATCCACCTGAGTGATGTGATTCAGGCAATAATTCAATGGGAATTTCAGGATCCTAAAATGGAGGTACCTACCATATATAAGGCCTATATAAGGCCTATGTAAGTGAATATCACCACAAAATATGGCCAAACATATGGTACAGTACCTCCATTTTAGGATCCTGAAATTCCCATTGAATAATTTGTTGGTATTGCTCCAGTTCGAATAGCGCATTCTTAGCACTTGATGCATGTCTAGTTTTGAGGTTAAGATCATTGAAGTCCTGTCTGCACCGGGCATTTTGTCATGGAAAGAGAATGCCCCATCCATTTTTCGGGGTAGTCAGGTTACAGGTTTGACATGGTTTGACATGGTTTGACCCATAACCAAGTCCCAAATCAAGACAATGAAGAAAAAAAAGTGATGTGGCAGTGCGGTTTCAAACAACTCCCTGTGGATGTGGATGCCCTCCGGAAATCAGACAAAACGATGTATCATCCCATGAATTTCATCCCATTTATAGGATGATTTTCCCATTATAACTTCCTTTCTTAGGGAATCAACCATGATTTCGCCATGTTCTTGACAGATAGTTGGTGCGGGACTGTCGCGTTGTAAGGGTGTCCGAAAGATGCCCAGGAGATCTTTGAATGGTTGGTCGTTAGTGAAGATCAAATTCAGGCCTTACCGGGATGCCGGTAGGTGACCGGTAGAAGTGGGGGGGATTGGCGGTAGTGCCATCGAAACTTCTGACCTATCAAAAAAAAATGGTAAGGGCTTATGTCAGGCCAATCATAAGTCAAAAATTTGGAATACCCTTTGGTAAACTAACAAAACTATGGACAATCACAATTTTTAATGGGAAAACTCACTATAAATGGCCATTTTCAATAGCTATGTTAGTTTACCAGAGGGTATCAGAATTTTGACTCTTGACTGGGTAAATCATCGAACTCCATGGGCCATCGAACTCATAGCAATAAGAAACTTCCAGAGGGTATCAGCCAGAGTTCCCATGACAGAAACCATGAAACCACAAAGGTTCCCCTGTCATCCTTTTTTTCCCGAAAAAAATGAGTAATTACTTGGACCATGGCCCATGACATCCCATGACTTTGCAGTTCGAAGAGGTTTTGAGTGACCGTTTCCGGAAGGTTTTTTCCTATTCGGATGGCCCAGGATTTATGGGGGTTTATGGGGATTTCATGGATTTATCCCCAAATGAATGGCTGATGTTCAAGCTGGCGGGATTGAGGGCTACTCAATTTCGATACAAACCCATCTTCTCTTTTTCGAAAGCCGTGGGTATTTTTGAATGGGGGTCCACACGTTCATTGATTGAATATTGGATTGTTCAACGTCCATTGATTCCATGGGATACATATATATATATATATATATTTTCATTGGATCTGTGTGTTGGTGGCGTTTGGTTGCCAAGTTTCGTATATATTCAAGGTGGGGCAATTCCATGGGATATTCATTGGATCTGTGTGTTGCTTGCCATGCTGGGGCCTCACCGAATTTTTACTGGGGGAATCACCGAACAATTTCCCATTTCCTCATGGACTATCCCTGTTGGATCCTCCAAATGGTCCATATTTTCAGCAGGTTGACTCTGTAGGGTTTATCGATGTTTATCAGTTTACGCTTCACTTTCCCGCCCCTTTCTCAAAAAAAACATTTTCCATAGATGTCCATAGCTTCAGCCACCAGGATTCCCCGACGCCCGCTAAGATTCCGCCATCTCCGCAGGAAGACTTTGGACTTTGTGGCCACTGCTCTGGTGATTTTGCTTCTCGACAGCTAGGGATTTGCGAGGTTGCCAGAGGGTATTGCCAGGTGTTTTTGATATTGCCGTGTTCAGCCCGATTGTGCGTGCGAGTCCGTTTTTTTTTGATCTGTCCACTCATGAAAAATATGACCCAAAACAGCAATTTTTATGCGAAAGTTCATACCATTTCAAAGGTTTTGGGAAAATATTGAGTAACAATTTTTTGGCACCCTCCAGCAAATTAAGGAGTACCCCTAACTTGCAACCTATGGTTGAATCATGATGAACACATGGGACGAAGAATATTTAGCCTAGTAATAGGTTTGGGATACTGCCACTGCATCATTTTTTGCAGACAAATCCACATGTTACATGTATATATATATATATAATACATGCATCCCGTATCCTCTTGAAATCAAACTCTTTAGAAACTTTCATAGAGGATTTTCCAGCCAGCCATGTTTGATGGCACTAGAGGGTATCACAATTGTTGTTGATTTATCCTTCATTTGTATCCTTTTTCACCCCCGCAAAATACCCATTAACTCATCCCTAGTTCATTCAGATGGTGAAACCATATGACTCTGGGGATTTAATGGGAATTAAAACGCATCCTGATGATTCATATGTGATTATAGGATTGTAAGACAATAGATTATTTACTGGGAATTTCAGGACCCTAAAGTGGAGGTACTGTAAGGCCATATTTTAGAGGCAAATCCTCCTACATAGCCCTTGCATAGGCCTTATACATGGTAGGTACCTCCAATTTAGGTACCTGAAATGGCCATTCAATTTATGGTTAATGAATTTAATGATTAATAATGTGGCTATTAATGGCTTCGTTGACAATGGTTAGTAGACGTTAACTATTGATAGCCTCTGGTAATTTAACATATAGCTATTGAACATACCCCATAGAAATTGTGAGTTTTCCCATTAAAAATGGTGGATCTTTCCATCGTTTTTTGTATGTTTACCAGAGGGTAATTATAGATTGATGTGTTTGATGTGACTGATGTGACTGATGTGAAATATCCCCACAGTACCTCCATTTTAGGATCCTGAAATTACCATGAATTTTTCATGCTTGGGTGCCGTTAAAAACATATGCTATTCATGGCTATGCATGGCTTGGTTTCACCATATGTCCCACGCGTTGGTGGTTTCACCGGTGATTGGTAACCAATTCTAAAATCGTCTGGTTACCATAGCATTTCCCTATAAAAGAAATCCCTGTCTGGAACAGTTCAACACTTATTTGATCTTATTAATTATTTATAGATATAACCACCAGTTATTAGAACACTTTAATTTTTGTTATTTAAGATATTTATAGATATAACATAATAAAACCACCAGTTATTAGTTATTAGTTATATTATACATTATAAATATCGGATATAACATGATATAACCACCAGTTGTTAACTATTAGATACTATTAGTTATATATATATTATACATTATACATATCGTACACTACTGTTATTGCAATTATAAACCAACTTAGCACACTAATTATGCCCCCAACAGTTCAAGACGCCAGGAATTGCATCTTGCTGATGGTGGAGTTGGAGCTAGAGGGTCGTGCTGTGGGATCTAAGTTGGGGTTCCTTGGCGTCGTGATTCCTTGATTTTTTCGCGGAGCCCAGTGATTCTGCCCATGATGTTTGTTGGATGTTTTTTTTGCTTTAGAATTCCATGTTACTATTGTTACCCTCTGGTAAACTAACATAACTATGGAAAATCACAATTTTTAATGGGAAAACTCACTATAATTAAATGGCAATTTTCAATAGCTATGTTAGTTTACCAGAGGGTATATTTCCTATAAACCCTAGTTATTGGAGTTGTAAACCAACTTAATGATCTAATTAAGAGAGGGCCTCCTTATCTTGGTCGATTGCAGCTACCCACTTGGATTCTTAGTGACTTAGTGTTTTCGGGATCGGAATGTCCACATAACCGTTCAGAATTCAAGTCCAACACGCCCCAGAAACCATGGTTTAGTAGGGGATTTCCACATAGGGACCATTTGGGGTGTGTTTCATATCCCATGACGGATCCATGTATGCTATATATGGTAACATGGATCCCATCAATATACCCCATTCATGTTAGCATATATACCAGCACCATGGATCCCATGGGTATGGATATCAATGGGAATTCCAGGATCCTAAAATGGAGGTACTGTACCATATAAGACCATATAAGACCATATTTGGGGGTTAAACCTCCTTTATTTGTCAAAAAGATGGCCGTTTTTCAGTGTTTCGGAAGTTACATATTGATGATTAAATCGACTTGTTTCCACCGAGTTTCCCACGAATGACTTGGCATCTATGACTTGGGGAACAGCTGTGCATATATTGGATCCCTGGTATGTACCCGACATGGCAAATAGCCACAAAAACTATGGAAAGATCCACCTTTTTTAATGGGTAAATCAACTATATTTCTATGGCTATTATGGGTAAATCAACTATTTCGACTGGGCAATTTTTAATAGTTATGTTAGTTTACCAGAGGGTATATGGTGAACATCTCCTCTCCTGACAAAGAATAGGCTTCATGGTCAACAAGCCTTTGATGGGGCCTGGTATGTACATCCAAGTTTCAGACTGTAACTGGATTGGTTGGTTGGGATTCAATGGGTCATGATCCAGTTACCCTCTGGTAAACTAACATAGCTATTGAAAATCACAATTTTTGATGGGAAAATCCACTATAAATGGCCATTTTCAATAGCTATGTTAGTTTACCAGAGGGTAATCAAGCTATGTTAAACTCCCGCTCTCCATTTCTCAACTTCAGGCATCAAGTAGGGAATCGTAGCATCATACTTGTGGGCCTTGTGGGGGTACTTTTTTAAGACATTTCGGGTGAAAAATGAGTTACCCTCTGGTAAACGTTTACAAACAACTATGGAAAATCACCACTTTTAATAGGCAAATCAATTATCACTGGGCTGTTTTCCATAGCTATGCAGCTATGTAACAAATTACCAGAGGGTATCTTTCCAAATTTTCGGACCTGCCTCACCAGATTTTTATCAAAATCCAATATCAATGATCAGGGGGATTGATTGAGCCACCCCGCAAGGCTGACGCTGATGCCCCTGAAAAAATAAGGGTTGAGAGCCGCTTCTCAATCACCACCCGGGAAAGAATTTCAATTTCACATACCCGGCCTGGTAAATTAACAGTTGGACCCTGAAAATGACCAATTTTTGAGTGGAAACAAAAAAATCAAACCCCGATGACTGCCAGGGTCTATGTTAATTTGCCGGAGGGCAATTACAAAGGATATCAAAAAATACCCAATCACCATCCTCTGCAAAAGGATCATATGTTTTTTTGGGGTTTCAAAAACAAAAACACCTTTTTCGAAATCCAGTCCGGCTAAAAACAATTTTGTGCTTTTGTAGAGGCACCTTGTCCGGACTGGGACATAAAAACCTTAGGTGCTTTGGTAGAGGCACCTTGTCCGGACTGGGACATTCTTTTGTAGTGTTTTTTTAACAAAAACTGACCTTACTTCTGTAGAGAAGTGGGCTAGAGTCAGAATTGTAACTACAAAACACGGGGCACAAGATACACCGGGAAATGGCAACCCGATGTATAATATCTATACTTAAATATAGATGTGTACAATTGTGTACAAATATATATATATATATATATGTATGTATAATTTATATATATATAATAGATGATTTTCATATTAAAACCTTCATTTATAGGGATGATTTTCCCAGCCATGTTGGATGCAGTTGCATTGAAAAGGTAGGAACGACCACCCGCCACAGGTTGAGTGATGGAGTAGATCTCACGGCGTTGATGCCCTGGTTTCAGGCCTGGCGGGCATGTGTGGCCCGCCGTTTTTTTTTCACCAAACATTATGGGATTAGGGACATGTAAATAGTGGAAATATAATGTGGATATAATGGAGTTTGACAATGGACAGTAATATATATATATGGACATAATAAAAAAAGGGGAAGTAATATGATAATATGGATTTGACCACAGGGATTAGGGGCGGAATATCATGGAGATCTATATCCCATAGGATCCATGGTGCTGCTATATATATATATATATATGGTAACATGGATCCCATCAATATACCCCAGTCATGTTAGCATTACCAGCACCATGGATCCTATGTGGATATCATGGGATAAGATTGGGGGAATCATCCGTAACAGGACTCCCCGCGCCCCCGACAGTTTTTCATACCACCCAAACAAAACCCCTTGGGAAATGTTTTGGACCTACTTGGGCCCCGAAAACTTGATAAAACTTGGGGGGTATTTAAATATATTGGCTAATTTATGTTAAATGATGTTAAATCGCACTTTTGGTTCTTGAATCTGCATGTTTGATTGTTTTTTTTTCATATTTAAATCTCCAAATTTTATTGAAAACTTAAAACCAGGTTGGTATATTGGGAGCGTCTATCCTGAAGCTTGGAGGGCATTGACCATACCTTCATCTTGATCTTCTTGTTGGAGCTGGTGTCGCTCGGCCGGTGGATCTGGAACTGGAAAATGGTGGACAATTAAAGATGTAAAACATGGGATTATAATGGGATTATAATGGGATTATAATGTGTTCAACTATTGGTGTTATAATATTTATAATAGGATATAGGATTATCAAAAAAACATGGGAAACACATGGGAGCCATTGGGGTCGGCTGAAATTGGTGGACATGAGAAACATGACTGGAAAATGGTTAACATACCATATGCATGTTTTTTTGGAAGCACATGGGGACCATTTTTGCTGGAAACTATGGCATTATGGGCATGAATAAGCCTGAAATTTAGAGGTGTCCATTTTTGATGTTGCCTAAAGCCACTTCTTGGAACCGGCAGAATCAGAATCTTGGGATTGCAACCAGAAAATGATTTTGGAGTACAGGGGGTCACCACCAAATGACCTTATTTCAGCTTGGCGAATGATCATAATTTATCCATACCAGCATCTCTAAGCCACAAGGATGTAGTAGTAGGTAAATGTACATAGACTACACAGTGGGACCACATGACATGTGAAAAAAAGATGCTTTTTGGAGTTCATTTTGGGCACTTTTTGGCCGATGTTTGCTGTTTTTTTGGTCCGTGCCAAGAGCGAAAACACTTTAATTTACGGTGGTTTTGTGCCTTTGGCATGGAAGAAGTACTTCTTGCAACATGCTGAAAACCGCGTAAATACCACTGTTTTTTGCCAAGCCCTAGCCAAAAAACACATTGTAGATAGATACCGTGAAATTGCTACCAGAAGCAAAAAAGATCGTATAAATGTTTTGGGCTTCCGGAAAACATCGTTATTTACGGTGTTTTTGCCCCGAGAGTTTCCAAAAAAACGCGAAAACACCACCCATTTGACGATTTTGGGCTACTGCGAGACTGAGAAAAAAGCTGCAGGGGTAGCAACAACAACAAGAAGAACAAGAACAAGAACAAGAACAAGCACAAAATTTGCGACAAAAAGATGTGTGGTAAGATGGTTACAAGCTGCGGTATGAAAAGAACATCACACTGTGCTCTGCACCTGCGCGCGCGCAGAGCACATGAACAACACCAACGCTCACACTGCTATACCTAATTTATGGCATCGCCGGTGTGCGACATTTGCCGGGCAGCAAGGATCTGGGCCTTATACGCACTGCGCAAAGAGGTGGACAGCCTCAAGGCGCAGGTCCGCACCCTCAAAGCTGCGGGAGGAAATAAAAGGATACTTCAGCGCTGCCATGGTCACGGCGATGGAGGCGATGGAGGAGCAAGCATCCAAAGCGGCACCGGCGCCTGCGACGCCGGCGGGAGGCGCAAAGCAGTAGCAGCATCGATGGATAACCACGATAAACACCATCAATTCCAATGGTGTCGGCACTGAGCTTGTCCGAGGCCCCGCGGGGGCCGAGACCGCAAGAGGCTCCTTGCGGGGCTTCAACAAAGACTCTGACAAAGACATTTTGCCTTCAAGTTTCCTTAGGGGGCGGGCCCCGCCCCTTAGTAGGCGGAGCCGGCGCGCCCTTCGGGGCACGCCCTTTGTGGCCGAATTTTAATCTCCCAGAGCTCTGGGCCGAGACGGGGCCGTTTTTGGGTAGGATAGGGGCCGGGTGGCCTAAAGGGGCATACGCCCCAGGGTTACAGTTTGTTGCTAACATAGAATGGTGCGACGGGTTCGGTCACTGTATGGGGCTACCAACAACAAAAGGAAATGATTACGAAGTAAGATTCCTCTGAAAAGGGTACAGGAGTTCAGTGACTTCGGGTCCTTTGTGTTTCAATCAGTTGACGTTTGGATCCCCTTTTGAATTTGTTGGCCTTGCAACCGTCCTGGTATCCTCCGAAAATAATGGATCCACTGTAATGTTACCCTTTGTGTTACTTCCAGCTTCCGGGGTTTGGTCCAATCCAGCGGGTTCACGGCATGTCACCACATGAAGCACACCGCAGCTTTTGGCGATATAATTTGTTTTGCCTCCTTCTTTGGTCTCTTTTTTCGGCATGGAGAACGTGGCGGTTGTCATTTTCAACATCAACCTTCTTCAGTACCTCGACCCGCGGGCCCTTTGGTTTTTGCAGGCCAGGGTGAACTTTAAAGGGGTCGAAACGTTTTTTTTTAAAGTTGTTGTTTGCAGGCAGCGAATTTGGTATCTTAGTTCCTGCTTCACTTTACAGTCTGTTGTCTTCTATATAGGAAACAAATCAACCTGCGAAGCTCTGACGCGCTGCACAGCTTTTCCAACCATTTTCTAGTGGGCCCTGTGTCGATCATGCCCCGAGCGCGAGACGACGCGCCTCCAAGAACTCTATGTCCCTTGCCAGCTGTTTCTCTGCATTGCGTTTCCTTAGCTCATGGGATGAACGTAAATTCAATAGCTTGGATGGGAATTTAGGCCAGATAAAAGGGTCCGCTTCTTGAAGCGCAAAGCTTTCCTAAAGCAAAATATGAGGGACTCACTCCGCCGCCAGCCAGCGCTCAGATCTAGCGGCAAAGACAGCCAAGGAGAGCAGTGTGCAGCCTGAGACAAATGTCGAAAAACAGCGCTGAGCGCTGCGCCAACCACAGATACGGTCATGCAATTCCCTGTGGCCGCCATCATGTCGGTCTTGTTCATGCCGCCAAAAAATTTACATTGGAAACCTTGAAGCCCAAAGCGTTCCATGGGGTGTAAGGCCCGCGAGAAGGTGCTCTGTGGAGTGGTCGAACTTGCCGTTACCAGGTAGGGATCGCAGATCTTTTTTTCCAGGTTTTTGGCAGATCAAGCATCCCTGCCCACTTTTGTCTCATTCTGCCATGGCTTGGCGTTGGGATTGGCAACAGCAGCCTTCGGCCTGGCATCAGTCGACGGATTGGCAACATACTGATTGGCATGCTAGGGACTGGCAGCAGGGTTCCTGGTCGAAAATGTATCCTACGAATCCAGTGCTGTGGATATGGGACTTCGTTTTTGAGCCGAAGGGGTGCACGGAGTAGCCATCGGCCAGCTGGAAAGTGATGATGGTATAGGATGGTATAGGATGGCAAATTTGACAAATCACCCAAATAAGAATAATAATTAAAATTATTACAGCTATTATAGGACGGTATGCCCAGGTAAATTTAACAAATCCTCCATTTTCAGACCCATTGCCGGCCGTGACGCCGAGGTTGAGACTGGTCTTGGATGGCCGCAACTTCTGCAAGGCGCACAAAGCGAGGGATCGGGATTCTCTTGAGTCATGTTCTAGGTCGACCCAAAACTTGAGATTCAGTAAGTTTTATATGAAAATATCTCACATACAGGATCTTAGATAAGTTAGATGCTATCACTGATGATTATGTTGATATTCAGATGGAAAATCCACCTGTTGGGGCGGTAGATGGGGTCTTATGTGATGGAACAGCCCTTGAATACATAAGATGGTTTGAACAAAAACTAATTGGAACCTCATTTACAACTCTATGAACATATAATACTTATAATATTTTATAACTATATATAATAACTGACCACAACCTGACTTATAGATGGGTTTAGCCAGCTGTACCCTTCCTGGGAAGTACCTTTTTGCGGGGGTAGCCCATCATAGCCCATGTGTCCAGGGCACTTGGATCATGTGGCACCCTTGGCGCGGTCAGAAACACCCTCCGGTAATCAACCGTGGCAATGGATAATCCCTATAAGGACAGATAATAGAGGCTGTTTAATGGGAAAATCCATGAACATCATCTATAACTGGGAGTAAACAGGAGGATTTTCCAGACAAACATGTTAGAAATAGCGGAGGGCTATGTCTAAATTGGTTCCCTCGGTCATTCCTGGTTTGATGATCGCCTGAGTCAACTGGTAGCCCCACTGGTAGCCCCATCATATCAATATCTTCGCTCAGCGCCTAATGCTGAATTTCTGGTGAAGATTCGCCTCGCCCTTCTGGTTGTTGTTTAATAATCCCATCAGCCTAATACTATACACCCCAATTGCATGGTCCCAAGTATGTGGAAATTCCCTACTTTTTACCATGGTTTCGTTTAAGGGGTGTTTAAGTTGTTTAACAGGCCCATGAATTTGCAGGGGTCACCTTGCTGGGGACATCGGTTAAATCCACAGATTGCCGGGTGAAAGGATCCATGAACATCACGTGCCACATGGGGCATTTGAATATTATAGCCATAGCATAACCCAAGAAGATTCTTCAAACACAAAACCGTCACTGTTCCTACATCTTATCACTATTTTTGTACAAGGTGAGGCTCCCCAGTTAGAAGTTGAGTTTATAGTGATTTTCACCATAGACCCATCCACCTTCATCAAATTATATGTGCGTCAACTGATGTGTCTTGACTGACACAGGCTGAGTGATTTCAGCATGAGGAAATTTCACTGAACCTTACATCTATCAACTTTTGCGGAGAAAAAGGATCTGATTTTTTCCTGATTTATGATGAAAAGGCAAAATCCTTGCTGCACAGTGACCCCAGGGTTATGATATATCCAACATTTATACAAGTCATAACCTAATAAGTCATAAAATCCATCTACAAGTTATTTTTGCAATAGATATTTAAAAAAAAACGCGAGCCTCCAGGACATTGCGAACCTTTTTGACACCATCCTGGTGATCACTGGCTGTGTGCCTTGGCATGCCTTGGCAAAATATCCCTGAGGTTCATGGTTAAGATATGTGCATGAAGAACACATGGACAATAATGGGAATATCATCATAAATAAGTAAATAAATTCATAAATAAATAGATAAATAATATATTATATATTCATTTTAATGGCGATATAGTCTGATGTAGTTGTAATCTATGGTCTATGGTATTCATTGATGATTACCAACAGGTACTCAAACATGGCGATTGCTGGGCAATTCCCGAACTCAATGGAGGTTTATGGCTGGGAAAATCGTCGAACTAAATGATTGGGATTGCTGTGTTCGATTTCATGAATGAAAAGTACCTTAAACCAATGGTCTTCCCTACACAACTAGGCAAGAACATTCTAATTCAATGGCTTCGACTTTTTGGGAGGCCTTCTTTCTGGTTCGTTCTTTCCGCCTCACTTAGCTATGCTGCCATGTCAAGCTAAAATTGCACAAAGCGTTGGACAGCTGATTTCTTCATGATTGCCCAATTGTTTGGTCGGGTAGAAGGCCTTGTCTTCAGGGTCCAAAAATTCTTGATGTTCATTTTTTTCATGATATTTTTGCAGGTACACAAGCTAAGCTGCAACTCAGCCAACACTGGCACTAGGTCCTGGTAAACTAACCTAGCTATTAAAAATGGCCATAGAAATAGTTGATTTACCCATTAAAAATAGTGATTTTCCATAGCTATGTTAGTTTACCAGAGGGTAGATGCTGGCACCAATCTACCTGCGCGAGGTGGATATTTTGGTGTTGGCGCCCATCATGGGTAACGAGAACGCGGCCATGATGCGGGTGGTTCGTACACTGAAGTCTCTGCGCGCTTTGAGGTTGCTTAGAACTTTCAGTGCCTCGTTGAACAGTTCATGGGATGCCCTTTTTATCATAGTTTTACACCCTGGTAAACTCACACAATTATGGAAAGTCACCATGTTTAATATGTAAATCAACTATAAATGGCAATTTTCAGGTCAGTACCTCGCTTAGGCCTACGTTTTTTCTCGCTTAGGACTACGTCGGTGATATATGGCTACAGTCTCAATAGAAAGATATATCGATGGATTTGAACATGATTTCAAGAGGCTTGTACATGTGTGTTAGAGATGATCATCAGGACATTGTCATTGAATCATATGCTGACACATGCATTTCATGCTGAATCACAGGTGACAAGTGGAGATTCGTCAGTGTCTCTGCGCATCTTACTTGAATGTTATGTTACATCGTATCAGGAACGTCTTGAAAGTGACTTGCAGAAAATGTTACAACATATCAGGACCCACCATGCTGGTCCCCTAAACCCACCCCATGTCCCAGCCCCGTGTCCCCAAGTGTTACCCTAAAGGTCTGTATATCATGTTCTCTAAGGTAACCCACCATGCTGGTCCCCTAAACCCCATGTCCCAGCCCCATGTCCCAGCCCCGTGTCCCCAAGTGTTACCCTAAAGGTCTGTATATCATGTTCTCTAATGTAATCCAGCATGCTGGTCCCCTAAACCCACCCCATGTCCCAGCCCCGTGTCCCCAAGTGTTACCCTAAAGGTCTGTATCCAATGGAGTTAACCCTGAAGGTTGAAGTCCACATTTCAAAATGTCGTCCTAAGTGAGTGAAAAAGTCGTCCTAAGTGAGCCTTTGACCGCCATTTTCAATAGCAACTGTTTGTTTACCAGAGGCTATCGGAAAGTGATCAGATTCTCACGCAAGCGGGCCTCTCCATAGTTGGAATTACCAGAGGGTATGGAACATTCACATGAATTCACCATGAAAGTAGATGATTTTTGGAAGGGAAATCAACCATGGAGTTTTAATTGTTTTGATGTGTATATATATATATATATATGTATATTGCGTGCGTATATGAGTTAAATTACCGGATGGTAATGGAAGAAAGGTGACGCGGAACGAGAAGCCTTGCCAAAGAAGCCGCTTGCAGGACATGAACTCCTTTCTTCAGGAAACTGCGAAGAATGCATGCCCAAACGTAAATAGCATCACTTGCTGCTTCTTGAATGATGGCTCCTTGAATGATGGTTTAATCTATATAATCCAGTTAATCCCCCCAAATGGTCTTGTTTACATGGGAAATATCTTGGATTTGCTTTACTTTTAAGCTGCTGTGCCAATTTTTACGGGTAAGCGGCTTGCGCCAACCCAAATGTTTGGGATGAGCCTGAGGATTTGTCCGTGGTTTGCGGCTCCTGGTGAAAGCTTGTGCCTTGGCAGGATGTTTCGACCAAGAGCAACCGTTATGAAAATCTTACCAGCAAACTCTGAGGGTTGTTGGTTATTTGTTTTTGTCATTGCATTTTTGTGTCATTCCTGTTTTGTGCATTTTTTTTGTCATTTGTTAAGTCATTTTTATGTCATTTGTTAAGTCATTTTTTTTTGTCATGTTCTTGTCATTTTTTTGTCGTTTTCTTGTCGTTTTCTACTTTCTAGCATTGTTCATTTTCTTGTCGTTTTCTCATAAGAATCAGGCAAGCGGTGAAGGTGGCAAACCCGGTCTAGGAAATGCAAAAAAACTCGCGTGCTGGTAAAGTTGCGTTTTTGGAGTTTCCAGGTCGGCCCCGCTTCTCTGGCCTGAGCCGCCCCCCCCCGGGCCATTTCACCCCGGACCCGGTTTTTGAGCCGGCCCTGCACCCCGAGCCGGGGGAGACAACTCCTCGTCCAGGCAGGCCCAAAAACGAATTCCCCAGGGCAAGCTCCCCTGCCCTATCCTTCTTCACCGCCGGCTGGCTTTCCAAGAGTTTCTGCACTTGTTCCTTGTATTTGGTGCTGCCACGAGATAACAAAAGGTCTGTCATGGTAGTCATTTTTAACATTTTTTTTTCTTCATTTTCCCGTTCCCAAAATGACAATAAAATGACAATAAAATGACAATAAAATGACAAAGAAATGACAAAGAAATGACAAAAAATGGCAAAAAATGACAACACAAATCCAAAATGACAAACCCAAATGCAAAAAAATGCAACAAAAATGCAAAAAATGACAAAATAATTATTTTGGAATTTCCAATGTTTGCAGGCCCAAGATTTTCCTAAAGCAACCGTGTCTTTTTTGACCTGCTGTCAATGGTTTGGTTTAAGCGAAAAATTTAATGGGAACATAGACGGTTTTCCCTTAAACCAATCCATTGATGCTGAGGTTTTTCTGACCCAAATATCTGAAAATACCGTCTGACTTGACAGTTGGTATGCGACCTATATGTATCTCTGACTGTGCATGCAATCCGTTCTATCTGATATCTCTTTAACGCGTGAAACAGGTTTGGCACATGGAGAGTTCTACCTGACCAGTTGTCAGGTGTCAATCCTTGAGTACTCAAAGTAGCAGCTTCAAAGAGCCTGATTGCTTGATGGCGGGATATACTGTGATATACTATCCTTTTCCATGATTACACTACTGAAATATATACTACCGAGTTGACTGCAGGGATGATCAGATTTCCGGAAATATCCATGGCTCTCCATGACACCCAACCATTCCGGATGATGTTCTTATCTCGTTTTTAAGTTCCACTCCTCATATTCCCCAATTGTTAAGATATTGCAATACCCCAATTTGTTATTGTTAAACCATGTTAAACCCAATCAAAATCCCATGGTTTGATTCCCACTTTCAAGCGGAGTTGGTCCAACTGATTCCCAGTAAATCCAAAGTTCATAAAGTTACGGCCATATGAGATCCCTATTTTATCATATCTCTATCCAACCCCCAGTTTTTTCCAAGAAAATGTTCCCATTGATGGCGAATCCGCCATTATCCTACGTTCCGAGAATGCCGGAGCTGAGCTCAAGGCCAATGCTTCTTGCCTTCCTTGTGTTGGGCCATGGTTCCTTGGCGATTGGGAGAACCACCAGCTATGACTATTCGGGTACCTTCCAGGTACCAGGGTTTTGACCCATAGCTATTTTATTTGTAAAATACTATAACCTCACGTCGCGATTGAACCCTGGACTGATGGTGTTTCGGGAAGGTATTGTAACATTTACCCAGATCATCATCATCATTAAACATTGTAACATCACCTAGATTGG